TAGGCTATACATCTGGGGTTGTCGGTGCTCAACGGCTTAAGAGCGTTGTATGTCACCTGTGTTATCAGCCCATGAAATAGTAATATTTCCAGATGTTTGGTTACACTCGACTTAATTTGTGTTATGTTGGTTGCACTTTTGTTCACATGAAATTTTGAATTGTCCTTCAGAATCACTTCCATCTTGTTTTTATACTCCGACTTATCCATGATGACGACTTCAGTACTTTTGTCCGGTTTCAACACCATCAAGCTATTGGTTCTCAAATCACGTAGTAGCAGGACTGACGAATCGGAGTCCGCATGAAAGCACTTGCGATGTCAACTAGAATAACTATTAGCCAGTTATAGTTCTTGTGAGATGCTTACTTTAGCTTAGAGTGTTGATCAAGTAGGTTTTACAATTGTGCCGCAACCTGATTGTCAATGAGTTGCAGTGGGGGTGTTTTAAATTGTACACCCAGTGTTAGAGCTTCGAGTTTTTCCTATTCAATGTGGTCGGAGAAAGATTATACACATGTTTTCGTACTTCGCCATGGAAGGATATTTTATTATGTAGGAAGATCATGTGGACCAGAATGCATCATCGGGGGGCTGTCAGGATGGGCTCGTCGGACTGCAAAAAACTGAAAAGTCCAGAAAATAGAACGACAGGACATTTGCACCGCTGCAGACTCAACGGTGCGCTTGCGAGGTGTCGCTTCCTTTACCGCACTACAGTCCCCGGTCCTCGTCCAGTGAAGAAAACCGGGCGTCCTCGTCGGCAACGCGTAGCCAGGCGTTGAGAGACAAGTCCGTTTGTGGCCGTCCGCAGTCGAGAGCAATTAGTTGTCACTTGGATCAGGAAGGGACTTTGAACCAGTTGGCGAGTCAATAGAGGGTTGACTCGGTAGCTCTGGTGGTTGAGTTTCTGGATGGTAGAACTCAGAGGGAGTGACAAGGATCGGGGAAAGTGGCTTGACGCCGGAGAGGGAACATGACAGTTATCATAAAAGCAAATACGCTTTCGGGTTTTATCAAAAGGTTTTGGAGTTAAGGTGGATTTTGTAAAACGTTTATGAATGAAACGCAAAACAACCAAAGTGGGCGAAATACATGAGTGTTAATGGAAATAGTAGACGTTTACAAAACCTGAAGAACGAGCCGGACTTTTGAGCTGTCCACCGCTTCGGTCGGTTGTCTGAGGTTGAGGCGGGGTAGGCGAAGGGTAAAGAGGAACGGAGGGTTTCGGGGTAGCCAGTGCTCGGGAAGTCACCGCAGGGGCGGATGCTTGTGTGATAGCATCAAGATGGGTTGCGAGTGCTTCGTCAAAGAAAGCCACTTTGAGGCAGTCGATGGATACCGTTGTTCGGTGACCATTTTGGTCTAAAGTGAAATGTTTCGGAGTCCGTTGCAGGAGGTTGAAAGGGCCAGTGTAGGTAGGCTGCAAGGGTCGCCGCACTACGTCCTTGTGAAGGAAGACCTGAGTGCAGCTAGAGAGTCCGCTGTGCGTTTGCGCATCTCTACCCTGCTCACGGCGTAAAGACGGGCGTAGTGAACGCATGCGTTGAGCTTGGCAGGGCGCAAAGTTAGGCGAGGCCTACCCGACGATGCGGGGAGGTGAAAGGAATTATCTCGGCAAAGTTTAGTGTTGTGCCGTCAACCAGCTCTGCTGGTGCACATTGCAAGTCAGATTTAATGATGCTGCAAATGCCTAAGTGTTCGAGCGAAATGTTTTCGCTCCAGCTAGGGTTGGAGGAGGCGCAGAGCGAGGCTTTAAGCTGTCTATGGAAGCGTTCGACTAAACCGTCGGCTGCTGGGTGATAGGCTGTGGTATGTATGCGGAGACAGCCTAAAACGTTGCAGAATGCATCGAATTATGAAGATTCGAAGGGTCTTCCTCGGTCAGTTGTGATGGTGGATGGGCATTTGTAGCGTGAGACCCAACAAGCTAAAAAGGCCCGGATAACAGTCTCCGCTGTGCAGTCTGTTACGGAAATGGCTTCTGGCCCTCTGGGAAACAGTCGACACATGTAAGAATGTATACGAATCCGCATGGAGTCAAGAGACCTACCAGAGTTAAGTGTACTTGCGAGGACCCAGAGTCCGGGACGCGAAATGAAGTAAGAGGACTACACCTGTGGTGATGTATTTTAGAGCGCTGGTATTGAATGCAGGCGCAATTCCAGGTACAAAAATGTTTGTTTAATCATGGCTAAAGGAAACGTTCGGCGATCAGTTTCAAAGATGCACCGATGCCTGGATTTGATAGTGAATGGAGCGCGTCGAATACAGTGCGCCTGAAGACAGGAACGAGTGGTCTAGGACAATCTGTGGAATTGCCACAGAGAATGGTTCCTTCTGTGTTCGGAGAGTAATATGTTGCATATGCAGCGAACTGGACTGAGCGCATGTTGTATGTCTCCATCTTGAGTCTGACCCGTTGCGATGACGACCAGGTCGACGGTAGACAAAGACTGGAGGATGAGGTTGACGCGTGAGAGAGCGTCGACGACGGGATTGTCGACACCTGAGACATGACGTACGTCAGCAGTGAACTTGGTGACAAAGTCTAGCTGTCTTTTGTCCTAGTGTGAGCATTTGTCGGAGGCAGCGTTGAAGGCGAAGATGAGGGGGCTTGTGGTCGGTGTAGACTGTGAAAGCGCGGCCTTCGGGTGTGTGCAGGAAGTGATGAATGGCTAGGTAGATAGCTAGTATTTCGCTGCCAAAAGTGCTGTAGCGGGATTCCGCTGGCTGCAGGCGTTTGGAGAAGACACCGAGAGGTTGTCATTGTTCTCCAATGTGTGGTTGAAGGACGGGTCTTACCGTGACGTCTGAGGTATCAGTCGTAATAGAAAGGCATGCAGTCGATTCAGAATGAGCGAGAAGAGCTACGGTGGAGATAGCATCTTTGAGCTCGGTGAAGGTTGTCTGTGGTGTGTCCAGGAAAGCGAACTTATGTTTATTCCCTCTGAGTACGTCAGTCAGAGGCAACATGAGCTGATCGTGGCTCGAAAAACTCAGCGCGGCATAGTAGTCGGTAACAACGACACGTAAGCGAAGTGTCAAATACAGGACAGTAAAGAAGTTGTAGGCAACTGAACCCAAGGTGTATTGTACAGGCTACAATAGTGCGAAGCGAATCAACAATGGCAAGGAACGGTATTGCACGGGACTCACGAAAGCAGTCTTTGAAAACGAAGTGCTGTCAGTAAAACAAAGGGACTTTGTGTAGGTTCAAACAACCGTAAAATCAAATGTTGTGAAATACTGAAAGAGTGTGTCTTCAGGTGTACTACAGAGTCTTCAAAGGTGAGACACAACGTGTGGCACCACAAGATGCGTTATTCGCTACCAGCCTTTGAGCTAGTATGTCGATGTACCCTTGAAGAAGCTCATCTCAGAGTAGAACCCCCGGAAAGTTTGACGGAGAGCCACACAATGAGCGACAAATGCATTCTCTGGGTCACACGGGCAGTTTAAGAACAGTACAATTTGTTGTACCGGATAGACGGTTTCATGGTGTTAAGAGACCACAGTCCTGCAGGTTCGAAAGGCTTGTTCAGTAGAGAAATCTCAGCGAACCGTAGTATCATCAATATATAGGGCCAGGTGGCTTCCGTAAGAAAGGACGCTTCTGCATTCATGAGACCCTTAAGGTGCTTCGGTCAAACAAACGCACCCGAGCGAAGCCAAACAGTAACCAATCAGCATGGAGACGGCGATATGTAAACGTCCAATCATCTGCTCTGTTCGTTTACGGCAATCTAGCTTGTCTCACTGATTGCATACCTTCATCACGTATGCGATGTCCTTAGTGAAGACAGAACAAACCTGGTTTTATTTATATTGATCTAATTTGAATGACCCTATTGCTTTAACCACAAAAACGAATATTTCTACTTACTCGCAACTTGTGTATCGGATAGTTTACCAAAGCTTACAGCTTGCTATATTGGAATTTAGAACAGACAGTATAATGCATCACCCAATGGACCATGACAGTAAGAGTAGAGGCTAATATTTGTCAACGTTTACTGTAAGTATGAGGATGGTCTAAAAATGTAAGACCGTTAAAGATGTGGCGATGCTAGAACGAATCAGTGAGTTCCAAGATGGTAAACACTTGTGAGACAAAACTGTTATTTTAGAATTCCCCTGAATCGGCCGCTGTGCAAGTTTAATACTTAAAGTTATCAAAATCAGTCAAAGAATGTCCGCTTGGTGATGCAAGTTGACATGAGAATTAGCGATGTGTTCACCTTACTTATTGCCTTCTGACTCCTCGTACAAACAGAGAGTTTGTCTAGTGCGGACCAAACGGTATACAACGTGCTTATCCAGTTATTCATGTTGACAAAGAACTTAATAGAAAAGCAACGATGCCGCTAGGATTGGTTTCATTAGTAACCCAAAAGTTATTCAGCATTACATTTGGCAATTGGTATTGTGAGTATGGAACTGCTCATAATTCACTACAAATGAATGCCTAAGTTAACACTGTCGAGTGCATGAGAAAACATCACAATTCGCAAGGCACAGCGACTCATATAAAAACCAACTGGCAATTTATAAGGTTGAATAGAACAGAACGAATGATTCCCTTGAAATAATTCAGCTAATGATAAATGTGTTTCATCTTATGTTACAAATGCGTTTCTAGAAATTAGTTGGATAATGTACGGGTGCTCCAGTTGAGGAAGGATACAGTTTTTACAAGACATGATTCATATATATTCGTCGTTTATAGAAAACGTTCCAAAACAACACATACCATTCGAGTTAAAATATGCGGAAGCAAAAGTAGTACGAGTTGTGAAAATTGTATTGACTGCCAGGTTGTTAGTAAGTGGTTAAGGGGGAAGGTTAAAATTAACTTGCACCACACAGACTTCATCATTCTGAAAGCATTTGTATTAAAATTCGTGTCTTGCTTCAAAAGAATCATTTTGTTAACATCGTCATCGTCATCAACATACCGTGACAGTTTTTTCCCCTCTCTCTGTGTATGGACTACTATAGTTAATGGTACATGTGGCCAATATCACTGTGCCTCGTGACTTCGCGTGGAGCTGTGATCCGAGTGAACTTTTGGCCGAGAATCCACGTGCCCGATGTCTTTCAGATAATCCACTTGTGTTTGGAATAAAAACCGTGAAGAAGGAATATCATGGTAAGCGAACGAAACTTGGTTGTCAGGTGAAATTACACCAGTAGAACTGAGGTATATTGGACAGTTTGTCGGCTTAGAAACAAGTGATTACAATAGTCGACAGACTCTCGTGTTTAGTGTTCCACTGCCCGAAGGAATTACGAGACAAATACATACCAAGGGGAATATGCTAAAGTGTAACGGGACACTTATAAGTTGAACAGACAACGGAGAACATATAACTTGAACTCAGACGTTATTAAGACAACAGGACTCAAGTACTGTTTCACTGTGATAAAATGTAGTTGTTCAAACATCTGGCCAATCCGAATAAAGATATTTTGCTAGAAGCTGAAATGTTGGCGAACACGAAGTGATTGCCAATAGCATCCATTACCGGCCTTGTCTGATGGTTAGTAGTCAATAGTTCCCTGGTGAAATGTCTTCTGTCGAACTCAGCACTTCATGAAAACATCGGGCCTCATGCTAAAAGGCTGCGCGACCCAAAAGGACAACACGGATATTGTGTTTCCCACCTTCACGCCGCTTTACATTACCTGTACGGTCTTAACAAAATACAAAGTGAAAAGTGCTGCAAAGAACCGAGTTCATACAACCTACACTACAATGTCTATAAATGGTGATGGGACCTATTTGAAACAGGTACCCCCCTTGGAAAAGCACCCAGGTTTTTATTTGTTCCATTGGTTACAGTAATTTCGTTCAGTGGTGAGCAGTGATCCAACACCGATGAAGGTCGGAGTTAGTTACACTGTATGAGAAGTAATATTAATTACCAATTTGGGTGCGTCTCCACTAGCTCCACGCCATTGGTTAAACGAAATGATTCGCGCTAACATCTTTGGTTCCACGCCTCTGCCATCGATTTTTTCTTGGCTTGCAAAGTCTGTCTATCGATTGCTGCATAAAGGACTTGGTTTGGGTTTTCCGTCTAATCAATAAAATCGTCGTTAATTAATTACCTTATCAATGAAAGAATCTGTGAAAACTGTAGCCTGCTGGTACGCGTCCGCTCAGCTCACCTGAAAGGCAAACCACTACATCTGCCATTGACTGATTGCGTCACAATTTATCTACCGGTGAAATAATAATGTTCTTCGATTCAATTAATTCCATGTGAACAGTGTGGAAGAATAAACATGCCACGTGTATGTTAATGGTACAGAATAGGATAATCTAATGCTCATACCCATTGGCTCAACCACTACATCGGCAAAGTGGGTAAGCAGAATGGTTATTTTACTTTCCAGCCGACATGGAAGCCACTTTGGACAGACTTCTAATCCAGGATCCAAATTCCATAGTGGATGGTCGTAGGACCAGATTTGAAGTTTATCCTCATCGGAGTATATCACCATACTCCCCGCCGTGCCCAAAGATTCGACGGTTTTGCGACCGTTCAGTTGGAATTCTAAACCAGGACGCCAAGCGTGAATCCGATAGGGACTTTTACACCCGAAAGCCACGCGTTGTGTTCCGCATTCTTATACCCTCCCCAGTGCAAAAGCCAAACTCCGCACACGCAAGAGTATGGCGAAAAGCTGTAAACACCACTCAATTGAACCAGGAACCGAAGAGAAGCGTGCGGGGCGCAACACCTACGTTGAGACTTCCACAAATGCCAACATTTCAATTTCATACGACAGTACTTCAGAAGATCAGCCAAAATCGTGAGTTATTGGCACAGTTGGGCACACAGCGTTGACTGACGTCTGATGAATATAAGTATGAGTATGATTCACGGAATGTCTGACTTGTGAAAGTGACAGTATCCGAAAAATAGATACATTATACCGTAATACAAGTGGATAGATCCTTGTCAGCTTGCTTTAGAAAGACAGTGCAAATGAGGAGAATAAATTCGACACAGGAGAGCTCTTCTGCAAACTCCCCAGTTTCGTCCCAGTGGTTATAACAATCGTATGATCTCGGATGGTTCATCTAAAGTGTTCGAATAGTAAATGCAATCTACACCTGAATCGTAAATTAACTCGTACTAAATTCACATGCTTTCTACAAACGGGATTCATATGACATATGTCGTCGCAGGGTGAACATATTTCTCGAACATAAGGTTGCCGTAGCAAGAGACGCACATATCGCAACATAAACTTTTGAAGCCTTCTAACAGGAGGTGCAATATTTGTACGGTCCGGATCGAATCGATCGACGCAGTAGCTAAAGATGGTTGGTGAGTTGTAGGAACTTCTTCGTGCAAACCACAACCGTTATAAGTGATCACCTATTGCACCGGTTGCGGTGGATATCAAATGACCCTGCCGTTTCACTATGAAAACAAATTCGATGAGAGCTTGCCAAAGTTATATCACTTAAGATTAAGTGCGGTCAGTAGTTGTAAACAGAAGTTTGTTCTACTAAAGCCACTACGGTCAAGGAGATTGCGAGACGGCACCGAGCGTGCACGTCAGTGATGTGCATGCTAGCAATCTGAAGAAACACCATTTCCGGTCAGTAGAAGATATAGTTAAATCAACCGCATTTGTGATAAAAGCAAGTCAAATTAATAAGTTTCAAAACACGGTCGGTTGCAAATGAAAGGGCGTATAAGCGTTCGTCTCCCCGAGTGGTTATTCCTCACCGACCAATTACATGCTGTGTGCGTAGGGTTTGCAGTGTCCGATTCTTGGTTTGTCTGTCACTGTGGCCTCCACAGGACACCAACAGGACGCCTGCTCCTAATAAGGGATGTAGGATGGCTTGCGCTGCACCACGTACAGCTCCATCCACATACCGACTATGCAGTGTAAACCCCCAAAAACAAGACCGTAATCCTAAGGATCACAAGACTGCTTAGTAATCCGGTTGAGCGGGTTCGAGCCTGCGTAGAGACCGAGCCATCGTCGCAGTATCCTTAGCCCACCTGTGACTAGTGGTGGTTGCGCGGTAGCGAAGCATCGGTTCTGCGTACTGGCGTACCGCCGATGCCTTTTTATGTGGATAGGAGCCACTGTTCATCAACGGAGCCGGTCCACACCCCCGTCAACCTGAACAGCAACCACATTATTCTAGTCAGTCCAACTGGGGAATCATGCGTACCAGACGTACACATGGCGAGGGGTTGGGTCGTAGCCCATTCCACACAGAGTGCATGGAACCAATGTTTGAGCCTAGCACAGTCATGAGGACGGTGCACCCCATCTCGCCAAGCAAAGACCAACTGTCTGCTGGTGTCAATACAAAGGTAGCGGTTTTTCGACAGGTGGGCAACTTGTAGGCATTTGCATCAAGTGCAGCCACACCAGGGATATCCGCCAAGAAATGGCGAATTTGTAGGAAAATATACACACACAAATGGAACAGAATAGGAAGCATAATAAAAGAACTGAGCAAATCGAACAAAGTGTAATACTTCTATCTGTTGGAACAGGATATAGGATAAGTGTAAGTCGGATGCGTATACATGTCTCTAAACAAGCTTAAGTGTGTCTGGGGATATGTGATTCCGAAAGTGATTACAAGCATGGTGTTTTGCATGCGTAAACCCATTGCACGCTAACGATATGGGTAGGATTCTGTTGTCATAACGCGATAAGTTGATCCAAGCCAACTTGGATAAAGTCCATTAAAATGAAAATAGTGGATCGACGTTGTTTCGGAGAGAACGTACTGGAGGATTCCGAATATGTTTTGCGATATTTTGGGTCCTTTGTTCATCGCCCATGTCAGTCAGTGACTAAACGGAGGCCATGTCAACAACCTAAGTCTAGCAGTTAGTTGACACTGGAGGGGAGATATGGCAATTCACTATGGAACAAGGTCTAAAGTCAGGGGCGGGGCAAGCCCGTGATAGTTGGCATTAGCGCAACAGTAGCCAAACGGCAAAAGGCCGGAACGGACCGTAGTTGTTGTGCTTGCCCAAGTCACTCAAGCGTTTCTCGAAGCATGTACGCGTAGAGGTTTGTGAAGGGCACAAGTCAAGGATGTAGCAAGCAGGCAAAATATGAGCATGGTCTTGGCTATCGGGCTATCGCTGACTTCGGTCAAACTACTATAACCACGAGGCAATAACTTGACCACATTTTTAACAGAATGCCATGAAGTATAGACTGCGGTTCATTTAACCCTGGTCGAAGACATCGTGTGTGAAAGATAAATGTCTTGCCGATCCGATGCATAGCCCTACACATTTCATGCATTTTATTTAACATTGCAGCTAACGCCCCCTGTGATGAGGACTGGGTGGCTTGCGATGCGGAAACATGTGTACCCAAGAAATTTTGGTGCGACAACACAATCAACTGTCCACAATGGCAGGATGAAGGACCACAGTGTGAAATAAATGGTAGGTCTGAATTGACCCAATTCGACGCGGTTCGACGACGTACCGTACATATGAAGACTTGTATCTGGTAATATATATTATTCTGTTGATACAATGTAGAAATGAAATCGACGGGAGGAATTGGGAAGAGCAGTTACGAGTTGAGAAAAGAACAGGAGAAGCGAGAAGCCGATGAGGAGCAAATGGCCGCTCAAATGCTCCACCTGTCCATTCTTGGAACTCTGGGTCTCATACTTCTCATAATTACAACCACGTGCATAGGTGAGCAATTCTGAACATTCCCTAAGTCTTTGTAGCCAGAGTCTAATGGAATAATGGATTTATCACGGATAAGAAGCAAACTTTAAACAGTTTCTCGTAAGTAAAGAGCAAGAGTAAAATAGATGTAGCAAGAAAACTAAGAGTAGCGGTAGACTACTCACAAATTTCACACGTACACATAGTTTAGTTACAGCGTTCTGTGTCCCAGTATCCCGGTTTAAATCATGCAATGTAAGTGGTGTAACGTATCATCAACGAGTTTTGAACTCATTTAACGTAGAAGCGGAAATGACAGAATGCGGACACACAAACTGAGAAAACGTTCCGGCGGCATTCCAATCGGAAATACAATCTTCACACAATATTCTAACTCTGTGTAGGACAGATCAGAACACTTAAACATATGCTGGACTTCGTCGGACATTCGTGTAGTATAGTCTGACTAGAGACTGGCAACCACCAACATACTTGGAGAACAAAGTAACCGCAGAGCCAACCGTTCTCATTTTTTAATTCCCAGCTCTGAACTTATAATGAACAAGTAAACGACACGATGTTGTTGTCAAAACGATTGATGTTGCATGCATGATGCTTCTTCACTGCAGTTGGGTTACACCGAAGTACATCTAAACTAGATATTTTTTTAACCTGGATGAAATGTATTCTACTTTGCTTGATTTGCTCAGTTCTCCTATTCTATCGAATTTTTCGTGTCCATTTCGCGTACTCATTTTTCTTCAAATTCCATGTTGGATCAGCAGCAAATTGGTTCACTTCAATGGGAATCGCGGTCTACTTTGAGATTGCGCGTCGCAATCCATCCACACAACGTGTACTTCAAATTCACTTTCCAACCATGTTGTATGTTTGATATCCCCGGTGTGGCTGCGCTTGATGTGCATGTTGACAAGGTGACCACCCGTCTATTGACCACTACCTCGTCCATACTGGCCCCAGGACTGTAGGTCGTTGCTAAAGGGGACAAGGTGCACGGTCCTTGTAGTCGTGCTAGGCTCGAATAGTTGTTCTATCACTCAGCGTGGAGCGGACTACGGTCCAGCCACCGCCTTGTGGATACTTGATTCCCCAAATACAGCGTGTTTGTGTTTGCCTGTGAAGGAGTGTGGGCCAGCTCCGTTGATGAAACGTGGCTCCCATCCACATGCCACCCGGTCTTAATCCTTTGAGGTTTACACTGTGTATGGGATTTGTGGATGGAGTTGTGGGTGGTGCGGCGCAAGCCACCCATGGTCCAGCTGGAGGTGCAGGCGTCCTGTGGCTGTCTTAAGGAAGCCACAGTGACAGGCAACTCCGGAACCGCATGCTGCCAACCATGGTGATGAGAGGTGTGTCAGTAAATCCGATTAGAGATAACATAAAATCGAACTGTAACGGGGTTTAGGAAACCGGTCCAGTATGCTCGACCTTACCACCTAAGCGCAGGTTACCGGAGTCAGCAGATCAGTTCGATCGAGAGAACGCGTGAACCCACCGGGAGACACAGCGATGGCTGGACAGCGAATCACGAGTGGCACACGTATCCAGAAACCGACAAACCGGATTGGACAATAGAACATAGAGGGCGCACTGGCAACTCGAGAATCGCTATTAACGGCAAGTTTCAGAGTGCAAAGCCGAATATGAGCGGTCCAAAGAAATACGGCCAATCAGATGCCAAGCACGAAAGATGTGATCATTGCGCGAGACAGGAAGACAGCGACCGAAGAGGAATAGCATAACCCAATGAAATAAAAGGGGAACGCGACCAATGAGGTGAACCGAAAAACAGAAGACCCACTGAGAAGGCTCGAAGATTAACAGTGTTTATTTCTTTTAAATAGGCTACCCTATACTGAATAAACGCCTGTTTTCCGCCCGCCGCCATCGTGACTTTTTGATCGTGTCCGCGTCATATAACATGGTGACAGAGGAGAAGAAGAAACCGATGCCCAAGATGCAGCTTGCAGTTGGAGGTCAACCGGCGATTCCGTTTCCATCCCCTTTGCAGATGACTGAGAGTTCTCTACCAGACAGTTGGCGGATTTGGAAGAGCAAGTGGGCGGATTTCGCAACACTGACTCAGCTGGACGCCCAGCCGATGAACTACCAACTCGCAATGTTTAGGCACGCTATTGGTGACGATGCAAGGAGGGTTCTTGAAACACTGAAGTTTGGCGACCAGAAGGCGGATCTTTCCGAAGTGATGCGGACATTTGGCGAGTTCTGCGAAGCGCGTGTGAACGAGACCTACCAACGATATCTGTTTTTTGGACGCGATCGTTTACCGGGGGAGTCGTTCGAGAGATACATCACAGAACTGAAGCTCCTGGCACGAACTTGCAATTTCTGTGAATGCATGAAGGAGTCACTGATACGGGATCGCATCGTTATTGGGATAAGGAACGATGAACTCACACGCCGGTTTCTGCGACAAAGGAACTTGTCACTGGAACAGTGTGTCGACATCTGCCTCAGTGAGGCCAGAACAGATCAGCAAGTCGAACATCTGCGCGCCGAAAAGAATACGGAGTTGTTTGCAGTATCCCGAACCGAGGGACGTATCCCGAGATCACCCGATGAACAGGTAACTGATTGCCAGTTTTGCGGCCGCAGGCACCAAAAGAAGAAGGAGAGTTGTCCAGCGTGGGGTCGGACGTGCATGAAGTGCTCCAAGAAAGGTCACTTTGCTCGTTGCTGTAGATCATACAGAGTGAGTTCGGTTGCCGACGATGCCAGAGAACGGGAACAAGAATTGTTGATAAACAACATGGATGGCCGGGCGAAAAGCAAGTGTGTGTTTGCAACACTTTTGGTTCGAGGACAACCGGTACGTTTTCAGCTAGACTCCGGGGCTGCGGTTAACATCTTGCCTGAAAAATACTGCAAGGGGGTGCGATGTGAAGAAACTCAAAAGTGTCTCAAAATGTGGAACGGCTCAAGGCTACAACCGAAGGGCATCGTCATTTTGGAGACGGTCAATCCAAAGGAAGGAACAGAACACCCGCTGGAGTTCCTGATTGTTTCGGAAGACCTTATGCCCATTCTGGGCATTGATTCTATCCAGCGTTTTGGTTTTGTTTCTTTTAACCACGAACGTTTTGTTCATGCGTGTGACATCGAGGCAGATATTTTTGATAAGTACTCGAGTGTGTTTGATGGCGGAGTAGGGATGTTCGAGGGACCCGCTCACTTATCGTTAAACGAGCTAGCAACACCGGTGGCGTTACCAGCTAGGAAGGTGCCAATTGCTTTGCGCGAAAAATTCTTGAGTGAGTTGCAACGTCTCTGTAGTCTGGGAGTGATAGCTAAAGTTGACGAACCGACTGATTGGGTCAGCCAGGTGGCGATTATTACAAAAAAGTCAGGCGAGCTGCGTATATGCATTGATCCGAAACCGCTTAATGCCGCACTCAAAAGAGAGTATTTTACGTTACCGACACTAGACGACATGCTGCCGGTGTTATGCAATTCTAAAGTGTTCACGAAAGTCGACCTCGCCTCTGCGTTCTGGCACGTATCACTAGATGATGAGTCAAGCTACATGACAACTTTCGGAACACCATTCGGGCGGTACCGTTGGCTTCGTTTACCGTTTGGACTGAAAGTGTCTAGCGAAATCTTCCAGAAGCGACTAATGCAAGCGTTGGACGATCTACAGGGAGTATTCTGCGTAGCGGACGATGTGTTGGTTTTTGGCGCTACTCGTGAAGAGCACGATCAGAACCTTCGTAGCTTTTTACAACGTTGTGTTGAAAGAAACATCAAACTGAAACGTGAAAAGATCGAACTACGCAGTACAGAGGTTATATTTCATGGGCATGTGTTAAGCGCGGAAGGGCTAAAACCAGATCCTGAGAAAGTAAGAGCTATAAGAGATATGCCGTCCCCCACAGATGTGAAAGCGGTTGGCAGGCTAAATGGGATGATCAATTATCTGAGCCGGTTCCTGCCCAAGTTAGCTGATGTTATGACACCGATCAGGAAGTTGACTCATAAGGGCGAAAGCTGGCACTGGGGTGCAGAACAAGAAGAGGCCTTCCAGGCAATCAAGGAACTCATCACTAACGCACCTGTTCTCGCCTACTATAATCCGCAACTCTCTCTCGAGATTCAATGCGACAGCAGTCAATTTGGTATCGGGGCCGTACTCATGCAGAATGGGAAACCCATCGATTTTCGCAGTAGGACGTTGACAGAGACCGAGCGTCGTTACGCCCAGATAGAAAAAGAGATGCTTGCAGTTGTTTACGCCGTCGAACGTTTTAATGACTATACATTTGGCCGGAAGACTACAGTGTTTACAGATCACAAACCGTTGGTTTCCATCGCCAACAAGCCGCTACATGTTGTTCCCCGCCGCTTACAGAGAATGCTTATTCGCCTTCAAAAGTACGACCTAGAGATTGTGTATCGACCTGGTCCCGAAATGCATATCGCAGACACGTTATCCAGGGCATATCTGTCAGACACACCAGAGGAAGACGAAGATTCAGATTTCGTTCATGCAGCACAACTAGTAGCTGTTACCGAGGAACGATTGAAACAGCTCCAGCAGTGCACAGAGGAAGATGAGTTATGCAAGCTACTGAGGCAGACAATACTAAGTGGCTGGCCCAAGAACAAGAAAGATCTACCAGGAGTGCTGACCCCGTTTTTCCATTTTCGTGATGAACTCATTGTCCAAGACGGGTTGATATTCAAAGGCAATAGGATACTAATCCCCAAAGCGTTGCAGCGCGCGATGACAGAGCTTGTCCACTATGCACATTTGGGAGTCAACAATTGTGTGGCCAGAGCGCGAGAGCTAATGTTTTGGCCGGGAATGACCAGCCAAATACGAGATTACGTCTCAAATTGTCTGGCATGCCGAACACACGACGTACGTCAGTCAAAAGAACCGATGATGCTCCGTGACGTTCCGGACAGGCCCTGGCAGATGGTTGCAGTAGACATCTTCATCCACGATGGAAAAAGTTACTTAGTGTTGGTTGATTATTTCAGTGACTACTTTGAAATCGATGCTCTAGCTACGACCAGTACAGACGCAGTGGTGAATAAGCTACGATGTCAATTTGCTCGTCACGGAATACCGGAGGTAGTAGTCTCGGACAACGGGCCGCAGTTCGTTAGCGCAGAGTTCCGAGAGTTCAGCAGAAAGTGGGATTTCCATCACCGGCTTACTAGCCCATATCACAGCCAATCAAATGGAAAGGCCGAGTCGGCGGTAAAAGAAGCAAAGAAGGTGCTTACCAAAGCTAAGGAGACTCAGGAGGACCCTTATATTATGTTGCTAGAACGCAGAAACACGCCATCAACAGAAATTGGGGCAAGTCCGGTGCAGCGACTCTTCAGCCGGAGGACAAGAACGTTGATACCAACTGCGTCAAATCTGCTAACACCTGAAGTATCACCAACGACCTCGATACACGAGCGGTTACGAAACAGAATGCTTAGGCAAAAGAGATACTACGATCGCGGGGCGAGAAAACTCCAACCTCTAGCATTGGGAGAAGAAGTGTGGGTGCAACCAGTACCAGGATCAGAGGGACGCTGGAGGAAGGGAGTTATTCAGAGCCGCAAGGGAGAGAGAAGCTATGAAGTGAAGGTTGGGGACACTACAATTAAGCGGAACCGAGTACAGGTCCGGAAAGCAGGTTGTACGCGTGTTACCCAGATGGAAAACGGACAACAGCAGCCAAGACAGATACGCGTCATCCCTGCAGAAGGAAGGAAACTCACACGCAGCGGAAAGCAGTATGGGACATACTGCGGCGCAATCCTAACAAAACAAAAGGAAAAGGATGTAACGGGGTTTAGGAAACCGGTCCAGTATGCTCGACCTTACCACCTAAGCGCAGGTTACCGGAGTC